TCTCTGCTGGGCTGTGGCTCACCCTTTATGGGAACATCATTTTCAGGTTCAGGTGATAAGCTACCTCCAAGGACTTAGCTTGGAAGGAATTGGAGTTGAAGACTCTGTTTAGTTTAGTTGTTATTTATTTATTTGATATTACATGTAAACATTCAAGCCTAGGGCTTTATTTGTATTTGAGTTAGAACTCATATTTTGTGTCCAAGTGTTGGCTTGGAAAGATGTAAGCCCATAGGGCATTTAATCTGATGTTACATGTAATGTTTTCATTTAGTAGTACTCTGGTGAATGAGATAATGAATTGCTTTATTTTAATATTGCATGTCAATGATATATATATTATGGGTTTATTTTGAGGGCGTGACAAAACAGCAAACACAAATAGGGCAAAACTAGCATGCAAAAATAGCCCTAAATGTGAGATAAAGAAGCAACTCACAGCTGCTGACCCCAAACAGATTAGGGCCCTTCAACAATGTTGAAGAGGGGCCAAAAATATGATGTTTTACAGTTTATGGAAAACCACAAAAACCAACACAGGTATGGCTAAGCTCTCATGCAAGAAAAGGGCCAAATGATGGACAAAGAAGCAAGTAGTGGTTGCTGGTCTTAAACACAAAGGGGCCCTTCAACAATGTTGAAGAGGGGCCAAAAATAATGCACTTTACAGTTGATGGCCGGACCCAAAACAGTATGCAAGAATGCTCAAAATGCTATGCAAAATAAGGCCAAAAATAGGGATATAACACAAAGTATATAAAATATGCCTCAAACCATGAAAGACCCTTAATGAAACATGAAGAGGGGGTCAAAATAAGACTGTTTTCAGTTCTGAAAAGAGACCAAAAACAGAAGCATCCGAGGCTAACAAATCATGCAAAAAAAATGGCCAAAAGAGAGATATAATGACAAGTAGTAAATGGAGGCCACAAACAGCAATGAGCCCTTCAACAATGTTGAATAAGGGCTCAAAATAAGCAACTCTTCAGTTTATGACATGCCTCAAAACAGATTATACATAAGCCTAAAATACTACGCAAAAAATAGGCATACAAGAGGGATGATGAAGCAAGTGCAAGATGGGGACCTTAAATGACAAAAGTCCCTTAATGAAACATGAAATAGAGCTCAAAAAAACACTACTTTTAGTTATGGCCGGAGCTCAGATATACAAGAAAGAGAGGCTAAGAAATGTTGCAAAAAATGAGCTAGAAAGAGGGAAATGGTAACTCACCCTTGTAGACCAATCTTTAGCAACTTATTGGACCAAATTTGCTGCCTCCTAGCCTCTGAGAAGACCTCCAAGCTGCTGGAAATGGAAGTGGTGGTGTGGTGCTAGGTGATGGTGTGTAAAAATGGTTAAGAACTTAAGGGGTTTTGAGGTTTAGAGTAGAGAGAGAGAGAAATTTAATGAGAGAGCTCAAAACCAAAATTTTCTAATCCCCCAACACAGCTGGGAGCTGCTGGTTTTATAAGCAAAAGAGTTGGAAAATAGGGGGAAAAAAGGGGGGGAAAACAATTCAAGTTTCCCCCCAAAAAAGGCCAAAAAGTGGGATATAAAGGCAAGTGGTAGCTGCTGGACCCATATGGCCGAGAGCCCTTCAACAAAGTTGAAGAGGGACTCAAAATAAGACACTTTGTAGTTTATAACCAAGTCCGAAACAGCTCACAAGTAAGCCTAAAATACCATGCAAAAATAGGCCTAAAAGAGCGTTAAAGAAGCAAGTGATAGGAGGAGATCTCAAACAGCAAAAGGTCCTTAATCAAATATGAAAAGGACCTCAAAATATGATTATCTCAAGTTCGAGTCGGAGCCCAAAAATGTATAATGAAGGTTCGGGAGCCAAAACACGCAG